CTCTTATATATACATATATATCTTTTCTGCTTCAAATTTTACTAGAAATTAATAAACCTATGATCTTCTTTCAAATGAATTATATGATTGATCTCATTGCCATTTTGAGGGGGGGGTGTCACAATTCCAGTAATAAGGAATGCTGTTTTAATTTCTTATATTTCTACTTGTTAGAAACTAGGTTAGCCAGTCTTTAGTATGGTGAAGAACTCTATATTTGGTTAGCTATATGAAAAAGAGTAATGAGGGAGTAAGGATTAAATTGGGTAGAATTCTCATTAGTTTGGTCATACAGCTGAAGCTTTTGCTTATTGGAAATCACCTCCTATATATAACTATACCTACTTTCCCATTCCACATACAACCCTTTACTGAAGATTATAGAGTATGACCTAGAAAGAACTTTGGAAACCATCAAGTCCATCCCTTCTCATTCTTTCAATTAGGAATCTGAGGGCTGGAGAGGTTAAGTGATTTACCCAAGTCACATGAGAAGAAAATATCCCTTTGAAATCTGTGATTCCCTGATCAGATAATGGGAAAGCCTTTGGAACAAAAAGAGATGGAACATAAAACAGCTTTCTAAGAGGAAAAATGTATAATCTCTGTGAAAACACAACCATATTTCCCCTCAAAATAAACAATGCATTTTCCCTCTATTTATTGCCTTTAGCAAAGGCATAGGGGTCAAAATATAATCAGGAATCATTTAAAGATAATCAATATTTAAACAAGGTTTTGCCACAATGCTACCTACTCATCCACCATAAGTACATCTTTTTTTAAATTAATTAATTTTTTTCAACATTCACTTCCATAAGATTTTGAGTTTTAAATTTTCTCCCCTTCCTCCTCCCCCCTCTCCAAGATGGTGTGCAATCTGACATAGGCTCTACTTATACATTCATATTAAACATATTTTTTCTCTTTTTTAACTTTAAAAGGAATGGATAGATTATAAGAGAGGAAGCATGAGACAGTGGATAGAGAGATAGCCTGAGAATCAAAGAAACCTGGGTTCAGATTTCATAAGTGACATATTCTGGCTGTATGACCCCAGGTCACTTAACTTGTTAGTATCCTCAGGCAAACTATAGTTTATTTATTTATTTATTCCTAGTTTTCAACATTCACTTCCATAAGATTTTTTTTTTTGGCTAGGCAATGGGGTTAAACAACTTGTCCACAGTTACCCAGCTAGTGAGTGTCAAGTGTCTGAGGCCGGATCTGAACTCAGATCCTCCTGACTCTAGGACTGGTAATCTATCCACTGTGCCACCTAGTTGCCCCCCAACTATAGTTTAGAGCAATAACCAATCTTCATCGGTCAAGAGATTCAGAAAGGGTTTCCTCACTGGGAGCTCTCTATGCCACAGAGCCAATCTCTAAACACACACACACACACACACACACACACACACACACACGTAAAGGATCTGTGATTTCATTGGTATAGGGAACTTCCATTGAGGAGACTCTCTTTACTATTGTAGTTGAGTACATGTATTGAAATTTCTATTTTTAAAAAGTTTCTGAGGACACTGAGATTTTAAGTGACTTGCCCAAAGTCCTTAAGCCAGTATATGTCAGGCATGGGTCTTGGGCCCAAGTTGTTCTGATTCTGAGGCTGGCCTTCTCTTCCTACTGTCAATCATTTATGCTGCTTATAAAATTAGTAATATGAATTTATTTTTAAAGGAGAACAGAAATTAAGTTTTGTATGTCTGATAGGATAAAACACAAAATTCTCAGTATGGCAGCTTCTACAATCTGGCTCCCACTTACTTTTCCAGTCTTGCTTCATTTTAATCTCTATCATTTACTCACTGTGCCAGGTACGCTGGCCTGCTTTGACATACTTGACTTACCTGAAATTCCTTCCCCCTCCTAGTGTCTTTACACACGTGGTTCCCTATTTCTTAAATCCACCTGCTCCTCCTAGAATCCTAGCTTCTTTCAAAGCACAAGTTAGGTCCCTTGGTCTGATTGGACTTCAATCTTTTATGCTAAAGTGAGCACTGAGTACATTTGCTGGTTCCTGTTGGTAGTTACTAAGAGAGCAGCTTATTCTAAATAACTGAAAAACTGTCAGTTTGGGACTTACATTGTGGTTTATATGTATGTATGCATGTATGTATGTATGCATATATGTATACACACATGCATAAACCTTTCCAGATGCTTCTTAATTCTAGTGCCTTCCCTCTGTTGATTATCTCAGTTTATCATATATGTATGTATATATATATACATATATATCTTATTCGCACATAGTTATTTAAATGTGTATATGTATGTGTAGTATATATCTATATTTTTGTTTGTATATTATATATGTTATTTCCATTTGTTCTATGAGTATGATTAAATAAACTGTTTAAATGAACTAAAGCCATGTTTTGTGGCCAACTCATGATGTAAATCTTTTGTGGCTAGAGTCCACAGAAATGTGCCCTGAAGGGAGAACATATTCCAGTAGGCAGGAAAGAAAGGGAAAGATCTAGGGGACAGGGGCAGCAGCTCTCTGAATACCACAGAGATAGGTTGGAGTTTTCCCTAGTGTCTCTTGGTGTTGAATGGAATATATAAAAGTGAGTTGGTATGGGAATGTCAGGGCTGCTAATTGGTGCAGTGGATTCATCTTCCTGAGTTCGAATCTGGCCTCAGACACTCAGTAGCTCTGTTCCCCTGGGCAAGTCACTTAACTCTGTTTGTCTCAGTTTCCTCATCTGTAAAATTAGGGCAAACCACTCCAGTTTCTTTGCCAAGAAAACCCCAAATGGGGTCATGAGGAGTTGGACATGACGGAAAACAACTGAACAACAATAAGTGAGAATGTTAGCTCCTGGGCCCTTATCACAGAAAAGATCAGTTGTACCCTCACACCAGGTATTGGAGATGGGGTACATATTTTCACGAAGTTTCACTGACCTCTCCACTGACATATCTACCCCAATATCTGTAGCTTCTTTTGTAGCTATATAGTTAGGCTTTTTAAAACTTTCCTTCTTGATCATATAAATAAGTAGGCAAGTGCTAATGTCTAACTGTTTTGTGGGTCATCCACTAAGTGAAGGTCAGCGTTTGCTTAACCTGGACATAATTCCAATTTTGACAGAGAATCAAATAAAGATGTAGGGAGAGATTTTCTTCTCTTCTATTTCCCCAGATGACCTTTTTTATTTAGCTCTTCAAAACCAGAAGGGGCAGGCATGAAGACTATAATGTAATTTTTATTATTAACTTTCCAAAGCATCATGAACTTTAAGAGCCTAGGGTAAGTTCCATATGTTACACAAGAACAACTCACAAGTAATTTGTCAGATTTAGACTATGTATAAATGTAAATTCAATTTGATATTAAATAAGAATTGATTTGTGATAATTAATAATAGAATTTATATAGTGATTTAAGGTTTACAAAATGATTTATATAATATTCTATATGAGCCAGACAAAAGCTCTATGAAATAAATGCTATTATTATCCCCTTTTGGCAGATTAGTAGGGCAGCTGCATGGTGCAGTAGTTAGAGCACTGGGCTTGGAATCAGGAAAACTCATCTTTATGAGTTCAGATCTGGCTTCAGACACTTACTAGCTCGGTGACCCTGGGCAAGTGACTTAACCTTATTTGATTCAGTTTCCTCATATGTAAAATGAGCTGGAGAAGGAAATGGCAAACCACTCCACTATCTGCTAAGAAAAACTCAAATGGTGTCACATAAAGTTGGACACAACTGAAGAAAAAAAAATTTGCAACTGAGGAACCTGAGGCAAACTGAAAGATTTAAAGTGGTTTGCCCAGAGTCACATAACTAGTAAGTGTCTGAGGCATGATTTTTGACTAAGGTCTTCCTGATTCTCAGTCAGCAAACATTTACTATGTACCTCCTATGTGCCAGGTGCTATACTAAATATTGGGGATACAAAGAAAGGAAACAAAGACAGTCCCTGCTCTCAAGGAGCTTATATTCTAATGGGGGAGGTAACATCTAATCAACTATGTACAAACAAGATACATATAGAATAAATGGGAGATAATGAACAGAGGGAAAGCACTAGAAATATGAGATAGAGTTAAAAGTGGGACTTGAAGGAAGTCAAGGATGATAGGAGACTGAAATGAGGAAGGAGAGAATTCTAGGCATGGAAAAGAGGACAAAGAAAATACCCCAAGTTGAGAGATAGAGTGTCTTGAGGGGTCATTGTCAAAGAATCTGTGAGGGGGTCATAAGGTGTAAGACGATTGGAAAGGCCATAGAGGACCTATTATGAAGAGCTTTGAACATCAAGTGCACGATTTTATGTTTGATTCTAGAGCTGATAAGGAGCCACTGGAGTTTACTGAGTAAGGAAAGTGATATGACCAGACCTGAACTTTGAGGAAGAATATTTGTAGTATTCCAGGAATATTGAAAGGAAAATCATTTCCTTCATCCTCCTGATATTCCTAATATTTGAATAATTATTAGAAACTCACTATTAAAATGAACATGGTATCTATTAATGTAGATTATTTATTAAGTTATTCATTATTCATATCTTGAACCCTAAGCCAATGAGAAACTGAATACATAAATCTGAAGTTGGACAAGATGAGTTCCAGATCAGAGAATGCAACCCTAATGAAATAGAATAGTACCTGGGAAGGATTTATGATTTGGGCAGTCTGAGTACAGAAAGAAGTACCAAAGACAAAACTTTAATACTTAACAGTTTTGCTTAGTACCAGATTCCAATCTGTGGCCAGGGACTCAGATGTAGACCCTGATATCCACAAATTAACAAGAGCATTTATGGTCTTATAATTACTGGGGTGAATTATTGGTATTTATCTGCAGTGACCAGAATCTATCAGGCAAACCTAATGTTTCAAAAGCTCAAATTCTTTCCTCTCAGGGCAATCTGTCTGTTTAATGCAACACTTAAAAAAGAAAAAGAAGCCTTTTTCCCCCTCATCGTAATTCAGATTTAAAGAAAAGTTTGAGTTCCACCTACTTGAGAATTGAATGGAAAATCCTGACTTGCTGATAAAAAAGTCACTGTCAAACTGAAGGGTCAATGAGTTGAAGGTGCTATGGATGTCCTCAGGCAGAGCAGACCCACTCCATTCTTTCAGGAAAATGTTGCTATCTATTGGACCATCCCAAACCTTGAGGATGTCATGAGCCATTTCAGTGTCGAAAACAATGAAATGGAGACTGTGAAAGAAGAGAAAAAACAGGAAACATTAATGGGTTATAAATTTAAGAGAAAATAACCTCCTTTTAGATCTTAAAAATTTCCATCTTTCAGAACTGGCCATTACGAAGCGTGGTTATGCCACAGCACAGACTAAGAAAGAGTTTCTCATTGTGATGAAGCAAAGGTAGATTGAAAACACCTGCAATCAATATGCTATTAGTGTTTTCTCAGTCCCCCACTAGAGGTGGTAGCATATGTTACATGAAAAAAATAATGTCTAAGAGGTGATTTCCCACTCAGAAACACATTTTGTATCTGTCGGATCAGTTCAGCTATTGTATCTGTTTCTGTTAATTCACTTACAAAACCAAATAAATATGTTTGAAATACCAACATATAGGCAAGAATATGTTATATCCCAAATATCCTTTTCTATAACAATTGTGCATGCTTTAATTTGATTGACTGATTGCAGTTTAAGAACACTTGCTATGCCTCAAGAAACAAAAAAATTCAGATATACTAGTTGATTTTTATCCCTAATCTGTAGCCCTGATGGATATGACATAAACATGGAAAAGAGTTTAGCTAAAATAACAACAAAGTAAATCTATGGTTTGGGAATTTTCTGATTTTAGCACTTTCACTTATTATATCTTGTGCATAAATAGTAATGTAGCTGAATTAACAATATGATGCACATCCTGAAACATTAAAAATAAACCACACTTCTTTAAGTTTATATGTGCCATATTTTGAAATAAAATATCTCTTACTATTCATAAAACATAGGACATTTCTTTTAATATAATACCATCTCTATAGCATACTTGAAAAGAACCTAAAAATTTTGACCACATGCATTTATCACTATTTCCTCCACAAATACACAGCGCTTTCAAAATTGCAATGCAATCTCAAAATTATTTTTAAAAATAACAAACCCATGTAACAATCAATTATTGTATAGTTTTATAAAACCAAATAGAAATGGAATACCTCATTTTGAGAGAGAACATGGTACTAATTGAGAGTTGGCAAGGTAGGGTTACAAATATTAAGATTGTGACATATCCTGCAGAAAATAGCAGTAGTTGAAATATATAGACAGCACTGTTCCAGTACTCAATATCAGGTTTGGTATGGGGCCAACTTCTATCTAGATATGTAATATATTGTGTTGGTAATGAAGGGTATTTTGGGGGATAGGGGAAGAAAGAATGAAAACTAGCCGTAACAGATTGGAAAGTTTATTGACTTTGTTCCAATGACAGGAAAAACAAATGCAACATTAAATCCTGAAAGTGGTGGGTAAGGACTGCTAAGGAGATGAATGATATAATATAAAGCAATAAAAGTAGAAACCTGGGAAAGTCAAAGACAGAGTCCATCTCCTTCATTATTTTGCTGATGCCAAGTACTGGCATCAGAATATCCAGGGTGAGGTAATGGAAAGAGCATTGAAATTGGGGGCAGAGGACCTAGGTTGGCATTCTGGCTCTGTCCCTTGCTTCCTGTGCAGTCTTGACATATCTTGATGCCTTCAGAGCCTCAGTTTCTTTCCCTATAAAATGTGGGGGTTGGGTTAGATGATCTTTAAATTTACTTTCAGTTGTAAATCCTATGAACTAAATACATCAGGAGGGACATAGTTATAATTCTGAAGATGGGACAATGGATAGAGCCCTAGATTGAAGTTCAGAAGACCTGAGTTATGAATCCTGCCTCAAATACATATTTAACTGTATGACAAATCATTTATCATTCCTTCGCTTCAGTTCCCTCATCTGTGAAATGGTGATAATAATAGTACTTACCTGATAGGATTGTTTTGAGGGTCAAATGTACAACAAATGTAAAGTCCTTTGCAAACCTTAAAGTGCTACATAAACACTAGTTATTATTATGATTATTCTGAAAAAAAAGTCTTTCAGTTTTACATACAGTCCGTTGTTCAAACACCTGAATACATTTTCTTGTATAAGATTAAAGAAGTACTTTCAAAGACAGTTTTCCAGACAATTACACTTACAGAAAAGCAATTAAAACTAGGGAACAACATACACACATAAAATTTATGTAAAACAGAGCCTTTAATGCTGCTTCTTGAAAGATGTTTATGTTACTATTACCTTTATTATATAAATTATAGCTGTGCTCAGCAATGAAATATGCTGGGTCTCCTGCAGAAATGTTTACAAAGAATTCTTAACGTAGCTAAATTTACAACAACCTCTTGTGATTAAACTTTTAATTAAATTCAACTCAGGTAGCTACTTCCTAATGCACATGTTTAAATTACAGACCTCCTCCAAGCCCAAATCGCCTATAACAATGTCTTTTTACATTAAAGAAATAAAGCATTTTTAATAACCTTGTGTAAGGAGACATGGAAATAAACAATAGTCAATAGAACTAAAACCTAAGAGAATAAAAATGTATTTAAGGAATTAGGCTAGCTGAAGAATTGTCAAAAGCTTCATTCCTTTTCGTTCATGGATCCAACAATCCAGGTGGATAAACATTTGATAGAAGATAACATTTTTAAAACTTCAAGCATTTTTTAAAAGGACAAGAAAGCAAGAGAAAGTCAAGAAATAAAAATAAAATAGAAAGGCAAGAAAGCTATGAAAAAAAGGCATGATAGGTAAACAAGAAAGATCAGAAAGACAGAAAGCTTACATTGAATACTACAACAGAATCCCTAATTGTACTTCATACAACTGTATTATAGCATTGGTTTTCCTATATACCCTGATGTTCAGATTCCCCACAATTTATGTCATGACAGTTTCCCTAAACACCAAACCACTTTCTAGCATATGTGTCATAGCAATAAGCAGCTCAGCTGCCATATTGGGACATTTCTGCCAATCCTCTAAATGCAGTTTGCTTTCTTTACTTATAGTAAGGAGAACAAGATGAAAGTTTATAGCTCTAAGAGCTGCAAAACCAGAAAACGAATTTAGTTTGAAAGCAGGAAAGGTTCATTTTGTCTTATTTTGATTAGAAATGTGACTAGTATCACAATCCACTTACAGGTAAAGGGAAAGAATAGCCATTGTTTTTCTAAACCTGTGTTGTTCTACTGACTTCCTCAAATCTATGTTAATTTGGGAGCCTTTTCTTCCTCAAAACATCGTATATAAATAAAGAAGTCTGGCTATCTCTGCTTTCTAAATAGAGCCCTTAGAGAAATTCAGATTTATAGTTATTTATTTTGTTATTCATGTTCTAGACATAACCCCAATGCATTTATATGTGCATATATAAACACATCATGTTTTAATCATAAAAATAAAATACAAATTCTCAGGATTTTTCTGTTACTTAGATAAAAAAAATGATTTTTGAACTCAATAGAATGTGAGCAAAGTCTTACTGTAATTTTAAGCTTTCTTAGCTTAAAACTATTAAATACAGGTCTATTTTAAGCTTTAATAATTTAAAACTGCACTAAGACTTTGAGAAGTATACATTTGAGAAACACTGAGGTGCTTTGTCTAAAGTTGGAAAAGTGCTATTTACCTTCAAGAACTCAATCAGCAAGCATTTATTAAATGCTGATCATATGTTGGGCATCCTGTTAGGAGTTGGGGATACAAATATAATAAATGAAGGCCACCGATTTTCATACTATGTGCTCAAATACATTCTATCACTCAAATGATTATCATTTTAAATTATGTCTCAACATTTATCTGTTTTTAAATCTCACTTCACTTTGAGAAAATGGCAGATGGAAATATTTTTTCCTTCTATTATCATTCACTGGTTATGATGCAATAGTCAATAATTGCTCTGTTCACATGGTTACAATGAGTTTTCATATCTGCTACTACTAATTCTACCTTGATAATAACAATAGCTAACATATGTAATGGTTATTATGTTCCAGGCACTGCGCTAAGCTCTTTAAAATTAGTATCTCACTTGAGCCTCAAAACATCCCTGGAAGAGAAGTGCTGTTATTATTCTCAATTTACAGATAAAGAAACTGAAGCAAATAAAATTTAAGTGACTTGCCCAGGGACATACAGCTAGTAAGTATGTAAGTCCAGATTTGAATTCTGGTCTTCCTGACTTCTGGCCCCACACTCCATCCATTGCACCCTCTTACTATTCTTAGATTGCTAGATATTGATAGATGAAGGGTCTTTCTTCTGAAGGGCTGGAAACTGACAGGTAGATTAGAGGTTTTAGAGCCTGAAGGGATTACAGACATTTAGTCCAGCCTGCTTACTTGACAGGGGAAGATACAGAGGCCCAGAAATGGAATGTGAGCTGGACAAGGTCACACAGATGCTAAGAAACAGTTTCAGGTCTTAATTATATGATTCCAAATTCAGTGCTCTATTTTACCATTATGCGACACTTCCCATTAAAAAAAAGCCAAATGAGTGTCAGGAAGGGCGAATTTCACAAGAGAAGAGAGTACTGAACTTTAAATAAAATACAGATATTCTTTCACTCCATCCTATTTTCCCTATTTATTGAATTTTTTTTCATATTCACTTGGAGGCCATCATAATAATTATAATTCACTTTCATACTGAAGTTTAGACTTAAAAAAATATGGTGAGGCATTAACATGAATTATTTAAGGTTTTTTTGACATTTTTTCATAAAGTTAAAAAAAGTTCACTAGAATCAATTCAGATTTTCATTAGAAACAGAATAATTACTTTGTTCTTTCTTCTACCATTTTTATACAGTTTAATTATTTTCTTCTTATCTGTAGCTCATGGCTGGATTTCTCTTGTGCCATCATTTTAATATATCCATGAACATGTATTCTGGGTGAGACTACTAAGTGCATTTTAATTCAAGATTTCCAAATGTATATCCAAGTGAGAAACTGAGCCAAAGAGAAGTGCAGAAACTCCATCTAGAGTAGTCTTTAGAGAAGATGTACATAAACCCTGGGTGGCTTATAAACTATCTTCCACAGCTGAAAGATAACTGCCTAATGTAATATGACTCCCCCACTTTTCCTTCAGGCATAGCACACAGAACCTACATTCTCCAAAACAGCATAGCACATAGTAAAATGACTACCTGATGGTCTTCCCTGGGTCTGCTTCTATGATCCATGTGCAGTGAAGATTATTGTCATAAGGTGCAGGGTAACCTGGAGACAAAATCCGACCGGATGTGGCAGCATGGATTCGACCACCACATTCAGCTGAGGAGAAAACAAAAGCATATCAATATGCGATCCTATTTTGGATACTACTGTGTTGCATGATTTTTTGCATTGATTAACATTTTAAGCAAAAAAATAAAGATATGATTTTACATTTTGAAACCTTTTAAGAACTCTTTCTCTCCCTATTTCCTTAGCTTCATCATTCCCTGAAAACTCTTCATACTACAAACTGAGAAAGTACCAATTTCTGATTTAAAGTCAGAAGATATGGAAATAATGCAATGACTTGGGTCCAAATAAACATATGTATATTAAATACCTCAATACAATAGCTTTAGAAAGTATTGTTTCCATGTTTGAAAAATCCACAATGTGAATAAGGATAAGGGAGAGGCTGGAAAGACCTCCCCAATTTTATGAACAATGGAGTTTCATCTTAGCTAGTATATTTCCTCAACAGAGGAGGGAGAGGATGAGGAAAAATATATTCCCTGTCTCCAAAAGTTCAGAGACATGACTAAACACATTCATTACTGGAATTAGAGGTTGACAGTGTTACACAGATAATTTCTGTAAGACCTAGTCAAAATTACCAATGCATGAAGGCAAAGGCTTGTCCCACACTCTTCGGTCTCCACTCAAGCAGGTCATGGTGCTACTACCATGCATCGCATATCCAGGATTACAGCTGTACTGGACGATGGTGTCAGTAAAATGCCCTTCATCTCGGATCTTATAGCCATAATTTGGGATTCCCGGATCTTCACATTTTACTAGATCAAAACCTTCAAGGGGGGAAAAAACAGGGGATACATGTTGTCAGTAGGAAAAAAAGAAAAGGTAAATTCTTAGAACTTGGAGCTGGAAGCAACCTTAGCAATTATCTCTTCCAGATCCTTCAATTTATATATGTGGCAGAGGAGACTTATAAAGTAAGTTACTATGACTTGCCTTTGGTCTTATGTGTGTGTGTGTGTGTGCATTTTTGAGAAAAAGAGAGAGAGACAGAGAGTGTGTCAGCTGGGATTTAAACAGATTCCCCAGGCTTGATATCCAGTGTTCATTTCATTACTCCAAAGATATTACCAAGTGCAAAATCTAAATAATCCACAGTAAGTATAGAAACAAAATGAAGAATATTATCTAAAGGAGAGAAGGGACAGAGAAATAAATGATATGCTCTTTTCAGTAATTATTATAAATAGAAATAAAGTCTTCCCCTTCATTTACTCAGCATTTCTTTTCTGAAATGTTTCATAACTTATTTATCAGTAAATTTGTTATTTACTACTTCAGTTTCTTGCAGATTATTTTTACCTCAATGAATTCTATATAATCACTTGCTAAAGCAATTTTAATTGGTAGCCACCAACTGCTAAATTAGGACCTGTTAGTATATCATAGCAAACTTATCTGGAAGACTTCTCAACCAGTCACTGCTGTCCTCCTTACCTTTGCCTCACATTGCCCCATCTTTGCTATTTTTGTTGTTTTGTTTTGTTGTTGTTTTTTTTCTTCAAGCACTTACATCCAGAAAGGGGAACTGCAGTTAGTGGTGCTTATTCTCCGCTTAGTTCTAAACAGGGACTGAATTGTTAACACCAGCTTGGAGCTCTGACAGTTTATTGTCCTCAGCCCCTTTCCTTCAAAGATCTCATGACTTTGGAGAAAGAGAATATAGTTCTTCCCCTGTGAAAGTATTAGGGTCCCTAAAATAGCCACATGCCATATTCTTTTTGATACAGGGCTCTGAGTTGAGCAATTCCCTCCACAACAGAAATTCAATAAATAAATCATTATAATGAGTGAGAGAATAGAAGCTGTTAAACACAAAGAAATAGATGACTGAAAGGAAGATTTAGGTTTGTCTGCACCTAAAACTGTATATTGTTTTTATGTGAAGCAATATTTTGTAAGCGATCTTAGAAGACAGCCTTATACTTTCACATATTTCTCCCCCACTTCAGGATGTAAATTTTGACAATTTTTAAAAAATACTGTTTAAAACTTGGTGTAGGGCTTGCATGGGCTATTTGTTCTTTCTTTCATTGTTCCTGAAAGTATATTCTCATTTCCACAAAACCGTCAAGGATTCCTGTTGGGACATCAGCCTCTTAGAAAACTTCTCCAAAGTCATGAAACTTATCTCATTCTCATGTTAAAAAAAAAAAAAAGAACAGTTTCTGCATTACTACTATAAATGTAAGATGACTGGAGAAAGCACCTACATTTTAACCAGAATGGTAAGAAAAGATAATTTGTATAGGTGTGGGAGTGGCCTGTTTTTTTTAACTTACTCATTATGCTTCACTATAATTTTTTAAGCAGAGTGAATGTAATTATGATTCAAGATACACATGACAGCTTAAATAATACCATATATATTAGAACTACTAAAAAGTGAAATATTCAATTTCCACATGGAAAATATAGAAATAGGGAAGGTATAAGAGTCGTAGTGCTAACTTTCCTATGGCATAGGCCAGAAAGAAATGGCTGGTCAAAATCAAAAGAATGCAAGCTCCTTGAGGACAAACACTTTCATTTTTGTGTGCTTTTGTTTGTTTGTTTGTTTGTTTTGTTTTATTTTTCTTTTTCTGTCCCAAGGACCTAGCATAGTGCCTTTGACATGTGAGGTAATTAACAAATTGCACAGCGGAAAGAACACTGGCTCTGGAGTCAGAAATTTTGGGTTGTTGTTGTTCAGTCATTTCAGTCACATCCAGTCTTTGTGACCCCATTTTGGGTTTCTCTTGGCAAAGATACAGCAGTCAGAAAAATTAGGTTCAAATTCTTTCTTTGATGCTTACTACCTATGTAGCCTCTGGTGTGTCATTTAACCTCCCTGTTCCTTAGCTACCTCTTCTATAATATGAGGGGAGTTGAATTAGATGGTTCATTTGGCTCTTAAGTTTTGAATTTATAATTTAACTATTTTATCAAAATTCTATTTTATTTAAATGTACTAAACCAACTAAACAATAAAAATAAGAATCATTCCATTTTTTTTGTTGTTGTTCAAAGCATCTCAGTACAAAGCCCTTAATCAAAATCAAGTAGGAAAATTGAGGCCTAGAGAAGGGAATCAGCTTACCATGTTCATATGGATAATAAATAGTGAGAGTCTAGCTCAGCTATGTTACTTTCCCTTCTGTATTAACATTCCTAATATTCACAAAGCCCTGTGTATGATTTACCTAAACTTTTTTGACTTTGAGATGGAAAAGGGTCAAAGTTGATACAAATGCTAACTATATCAGTGTACCGAAGATTCATAAGACCTTGGAGTTGGAAGGGACCTCCAAGGACAAACTAAATAGGAATCCCCACATCAACATGACCTACAACTGCCTCTTCAGAATTTATGTTAGGGAGTTAGACTAAACAATATTTTAACCCTCTTTCAGCTCTAAGAATATAAAAACTTATAAGTTTTTGAACTTCTCAAAAATCAGTCATAGGATTAAGATTTATGGAAAGGACCACAGAGGTCATGTATTCCAACCACTTCATTTTATCATCAAGGAAACTTAGACCTAGGAAAGTTAAGTGACTTGTCTACCATAATATAGATAGTTTGAGAGAATAATGTGTACTTTCCCCTTCATATAACATTAACCATTAGGTTAACCTTACTTTTCACCTTGTTATTTTGACATCAGATAGATAGACTTATGTTGGCACCCTAAAACGTATCTGTGTGTATGGGTATGGGAAACAGGAAAGGTTAAGGGGAAGAAAGGGGAACTTAAATTATGTGAATGGACAGTAAATGACCAGAAAAACCCCCACAACTATCAATTTATTGGATGAGAGAATATCAAGTAAGCAAATTGCTTGGGTATAATTCAGATAAAACAATTCAAGTGGCTGATGCTTTTTTTCCCCACTTGTCATGCGCCAGTGAAGGGCAAAAGCTGAAGTGAGAATTATGGGAACTCCATCTCTTGAGATTTTAAAACAAAAGTAAAAGAGACATTTTTGTTTATCTTCTACAGTTGGTTAAAGCCCTAACACAGAGGGTCATCAAGATTACTTCTTCCCATCTCTGACACTGAGAATTGTTTTTTTTTTTTTTTATTAAACAATTTATTTATTAATTTTTAGTTTTCAACATTCACTTCTATAAGATTTTGAGTTTCAAATTTGCTCCTCCTCCCTCTGCTCCCCCCTCCCAAAAACAGCATGTAATCTGATATAGACTCTACTTAGATGTTCATATTAAGCATATTTTCACATTAGTCATGATGTAAAGAAGAATTAGAACCAATGGGAGGAACTAGGAGAAAGAAGAATCAAAACAAAACAACAAAAGAAAAGAAGAGTAAATAGTATGCTTCCATCTGCATTCAGATACCATAGTTCTTTTTCTGGATGTAGATAGTTTTTTCCATTGTGAGTCTTTTAGAGTTGTCTTAGATCCTTGCAGTGCTGAGAAGAGCAGTCATTGCACAGTGTGGTTATTACTGTGTATAAGTTCTCCTGGTTCTGCTCACTTCACTCAGAATCAGTTCATAAAAGTCTTTCTAGGTTTTTCTGAAGTCCACCTGCTCATCATTTCTTATTGCACAACAGTATTGCATTACATTTATATACCACAGCTTGCTCAGCCATTCCCCAATTGACGGGCATCCCCTCAATTTCCAATTCTTTGCCACCACAAAAAAAAAAGCTGCTATAAATATTTTTGTACATGTGGGTCCTTTACCCATTTTTATGATCTCTTTGGGATACAGCCTTAGAAGTGCTATTGCTGGGTCAAACTGTATGCACAGTTTTATAGCCTTTTGGGCATAGTTCAAATTGCTCTCCAGAATGGTTCGATCAGTTCACAACTCCAACAACAATTAATTAGTGTTCCAATTTTTCCACATCTTCTCCAACATTCATCATTTTCTTTTTCTGTAATATTAGCCAATCAGATGGTGTTAGACAGTACCTCAAAGTTGTTTTTATTTGCATTTCTCTTATCAATAGTGATGTAAGCATATTTTTATATGACTATAGATTTAATTTCTTCCTCTGAAAATTGCCTGTTCATATCCTTTGACCATTTATCTACTGGGGAATGACTTGTATTCTTATAAATTCAACTTAGTTCTCTATATATTTTAGAAATGAGGTCTTTATCAGAGATACTGGCTGTAAAAATTGTTTCCCAGCTTTCTCCTTCCCTTCAAATATTGGTTGCATTGGCTTTGTCTGTGCAAAAGCTTTTCAATTTAATATGATGAAAGTCATCCATTTTGCATTTCATAATGTTCTCTATCTCTTGTTTGGCCTTAAATTCTTCCTTTCTCCATAGATTTGATAGGTAAACTTCCTTACTCTCCTACTTTGTTCATTGATTGCTTGTTAAATTTCTTTTCCCGAAATGGGATCATTTAAGTATTTTATTTCCTCTTCTGTTAATCTGGGCAATTTATATTTTTGTAAATATTCAGCAATTTAACTGAAATTGTCAAATTTATTGGCATACAGTTGGGCAAAATAGTTCCTAATTTTTATTTTAATTTCCTCTTCATTGGTGGTGAATTCACCCTTTTCATTTTTGATGCTGGTAATTTGGTTTTCTTCTGTCTTATTTTAAATTAAATTAACTAAAGTTTATCTATTTTATTGTTTTTTTTCATAAAAGTAGCTCTTAATTTTATTTATTAGTTCAATAATTTTCTTAATTTCAATTTTATTAATCTCTCCTTTGGTTTTCAGAATTTCTAATTTGGTATTTAATTTGGGATTTTTAATTTGTTTCTAATTTTTAGTTGCATGCCCAATTCATTGA